TGCATTCCTGCTGTAGGGAATGTACTAGGTGAGAGATATTGTACAAGGTGAATTAGACAAAATCTCTGCTGAGAGCTCACAGGGGAAAACAGACATGCTAATGGCTGCATAGATCCCAGTGTGATACGTGTCATGAAATACAAAGGGAGGGTTATCAGGATCCAGAAGAGGTGGACAGCAAAGCTTCATAGAGGAGGTAACCTTTGAGCCGTGACACAGGCAGTGGGTTCTGAAGGGCAGGAATGGATGCTGACTCCAGATATACTGCGGGTTCAGTTTCAGACCACCACAATCAGGTAAACATCAAAATAAAGTGATCACACAGTTTTTTTGGTTTCCCCGAGCATATCAAAGTTACATTTACGCTATGCCATAGTCTGTTAAGCGTGCAGTAGCATTGTGTCTAAAAAAAACAATTGCAGTGGTAACATTGAGAATCACTGGTCACCGTAACAAATATAATAAGGAAAAAGTTTGTAACATTATTGCAAGAATTATGAAAATGTGACACAGACGTGAAGTGAGCACATGCTTTTGGAAAAATGGCACTGATAGACAATGCAGGGTTGCCACCAACCTTCAATTTGTAAACAAAATGCGTTATCTGTGAAATGCAAAAAAATGTGCAAAGCAGTGTAAAAGGCCAAGATCCTTTCTTCTGGCTGGAGGGCAGACAGGATGAGGCAAGGCTGTCTTATATGGGACAGAGCTCAGGTGGTGGGATTGAGGTCGGCTGGGAAGTGGGGACACTGCAGGTTTGGGGCTTCAAACCTGCCTTAGTCTGGCTGTGGGGAGGAAGAAGGGCATAACCTGGAGGGACTTTAAAAGTGAAATGCCTCCATTCTTGGGGCCTGGAGGGTGGGGAGGGAGAGGCAGTCACCTAGACTGACAGGGGACAGCTCTTGCTTGGGTGCTGGGGGGACTTGAGAGGAAGATGCTGCTTTAACCACTGTTAACTGTATTAAGTGTGGGCTTGGGTATGTAAATGGCGCCCAGCAGGTGCTTAAAAAGCCAAATCTGAAATGCAGGAAAGTTGTGAGAATAGAAGTAAAGTAGCAAGATTAATAATTTTGCCGGGGCAGCCCTTGAGGCAGTTATTTTGTCAAATTCTGGAATTCTTTACCCCTGTTGTAGAAGGAGCAGATCAGTTCTCAAGAGGTGTGACTGGGGGTTGCAGTGTTGTTTCTTTGACAACCAGTTTCCTAAGACTGTCACACAGGCAGAGCTTTTCTCATAATCCTTGGCCAGTCTTTCTTTGTGGGGACACATCAGTTTGTTGACTGGTAACTGTGGCAGAGGGCAGTGGAGGCTTCCGGGCCAGAGTTAGATGGGGTATGGAGAGCATGAGTAGACCTGCCCAGCTCACCGGGGGGCGGATGCTTGAACACCATCACACAGCTGAAACGTGGGCTCCTGGACACTAAGAAGGGCCCATGCACTGGACACACTGACCGATGGACTGGGTCAGGCCCCAGGGAGGAAGGCTCCTCACCTATCAGCCTGGGGGACAAAGAAGCGTCAGGCTGACCCTGGCCCAGCGGCCGTGCTCAAGGCTGGGTACCCAGGATGGTGACACACCTTTTCGTTTGCAGAGTTACTCCCAGAACCTGTGTCTTCTGGCTAAGTGTTTCCTCGACCACAAGACACTGTACTACGACACAGACCCTTTCCTCTTCTACGTCATGACGGAGTACGACTGCAAAGGCTTCCACATCGTGGGCTACTTCTCCAAGGTGAGCGCTCAGCCACGCCGCCCTCAGCCTTGCCCTGAGCTACGTCCCTTCCCTCACACTCACTTGCCCCTCTTTTCCAGGAAAAGGAATCCACAGAAGACTACAACGTGGCCTGCATCCTGACCCTGCCTCCCTACCAGCGCCGGGGCTACGGCAAGCTGCTGATCGAGTTCAGTGAGTACTTGTGCTGCTGGCCGGGGGCTGGGGGCAGGTCTTGGGAGGCCCAGGCCCCATCGCTGTCTTACGCACAGATGCTGCACACAGACGTGTCGGGTTGCTGTGTTCTCAGCCCTGGCTGTGCAGTCCAGTCACCAGGGGAACTGGCTAGAAATAAAGATGAGACTCTCCCAAGGTTCTCTCCGTTCTGGGGTGACTGCCCTGTTCGTCTGGACTAGGTTTTCAGCCCCTCATAGTTCCTTGGCCAAGGTTCTAAGTATCACTCAACTTTTCCCAAATCTGACTTGTCTGCTCCTGCCCAGGGCACGGGCAGAAGCCGAGTGAGCCACTCCTGCTCAGCTGTCTGGTCCTGTGCGGTCCTGGGCAAGGACCTGTGGTTCATTTCCCTACTCGTTCTCTGAGCCTTGGGGACAGCAGATGTCACGTCAAACGTGACTCACAGGGATCTGGCTTCTGCCCCTCATCAGACATGAACTCTTCATTAGCCCCCAAGGCCCCCTCTTGCTTCCCAGCCTCTTACTCTCATTCCATTCAACTCACCACTCACTGCACCCTTGGGATAACCAAGCTCTGACCCGGGAGATGAGGGAGGCTTAGCTGTCTGGTGAAGACTTGGAGGCCTGACTTGATCACCGTCATGTTCTGAGAAATTTTATTGGTATAGAAAGATGCCAAGATGGGGTCACATCCTCAGGAAACCTTCTGCCTGAAGAGCAGAAGGTTGCTGAAAGTCAATCTAGGCCTTGGAGCTCAGACCTCAGTGGAGATGGGATGTGTGCGGGGCCACCAAGGAAATGTGCTCAGTTGTGCTCGGCAGGAGCAGACAGGGCACTAGAAGCACCATTTCAGGCAGCTCCAGAGGGTGGGTCGGTTGTTGACTGGGAGGGGCTGGGAGCTCCTGCAGCTGAGGAGGCAGGTGTGGCCTCCAGTTGATCTGTCAGGACTCTGCATGCTCTCCACCCAAAGCTGAGTAAGAACTCAAGTGTGCCCCTTCCCTCTTCCATGCTTCCTTCCTCCAAAGCACAAGCCTCTCTGTCCTCCCCACCAGGCTGCTTGGTGGAAGTCACAGGAAGTTGGGCAAGAGGGTCAGACTGGCTGATAAAGATGAATCGAGGGGGAAAGCAGAAAGGGCTACGATCCAACACAAGGCTCGTTATGACTGAGGATAAAGAAGGGCTTCTAGAAGTAGTGGAGACATCTCAGGGCCCTGATGGGGGAATGAACACTGTCCAAGAGATGTGAAACTGCTCAGGGTTTTGCATGGCCTGAGGGTCTCACCAGGAACTGCCTGCCAGTGCCCAGTGGTCAGCGGGGTAGAGGAGGGCACAGCAGTCAGAATGGGAGGGAGAGAGCCACTGGAGAGGTAGCTACTGCTGAGGAATGGCCTCCCTCTGACTTGGGAAGTGCTTTGGCGCCCTTCTTGCTTCCTCCCAGCCATCCAGTCAGGCCAGCCTGGTCTTAGAGCAGCTGATGCTTCTCAGGTCACACCTGGGGGACTGATTTGACTGAGAATGCAAGCATCCTCAGGCCTGGACCAGAGGTGGGGTCTTCCCCTCTTCTCTCCTCACATATCCAGGCGCAGAGAGTCTGGTATGACTGAGGCAAGTTGGAGGCACTTACTTTCCACAAACCATTTTCACTGCACTGCCCGCATCCCACCTGTAAGCCCTCACTGGCTTCCTGTTGATTGTAGCCACTTCTCTCAGTGCCCTCAGCACACAGGTGAACAGTACGCTCACTAGTCCTTTACAAGGAAACTGAGGCACAGAACCACCACATGGCAGGCCCAGGATGGGAGCCATGCAGTCTATCTCTGCAACCTGCATTCCTAAACGATGGTTGCATAACGCTGTGATTGCTTACCCACCCCCTCCTGCTCCATTGCTTTAGGCTATGAACTCTCCAAAGTGGAAGGGAAAACGGGCACCCCTGAGAAGCCCCTCTCGGATCTTGGCCTCCTATCCTACCGAAGCTACTGGTCCCAGACCATTCTGGAGATCTTGATGGGTCTGAAGTCAGAGAGCGGGGAGAGGCCGCAGATCACCATCAAGTGAGCCTGGCCCTGCCTGCCCGGGGGTGCATGGCATGACCTGTCTGTTCCTGGGCTTTCTCACTCTTCAGGCTACTGGGGGCCTGGGGTGGAGATGTAGGCCTCCAGGGGACCTGATCTTTGCCCTCCCACAGTGAGATCAGTGAAATTACCAGCATCAAGAAGGAGGATGTCATCTCCACTCTACAGTACCTCAACCTCATCAACTACTACAAGGTAGGGAGGCAGGCAGGGGGAGACAGGTGTGTGTAAGGGTGCGGAGAGCAGGCCCCACGTGGGCTGACCTGCCTGGCCCCGTCTCCTGTCCAGGGCCAGTATATCCTCACACTGTCGGAGGACATCGTGGACGGGCACGAACGGGCTATGCTCAAGCGGCTTCTTCGGATCGACTCCAAGTGTCTGCACTTCACTCCCAAGGACTGGAGCAAGAGGGGAAAATGGTGACCAGGCACTGCCCGTGGCAGTGCCAGCAAAGCCAGCAGAACTGGGGCTGACGGCCCATCCCTCCCCCACTGGGGTCTCCAAGAGGCGCGCCAAGGGGGAGAGGGCGGAGGACAACTCCACAAGGAGAGGACAGGCCTGGTAAAGGCCTGTTGGTGCCTAGCACCAGGGCGAGCTCAGGGCTCAGGTCAACTCCAAGGTCGGCTGGCCGCAGGCCCAGGCCTGCTGTGAACCAGGGACCAGAGGGAGCCAGGCAGCTGTGTACAGTGAGATGGGGGGTGCGGGTGGCTTGTATAGCGGACTGGTGGCTGTACAAATTTCTTTTGTAAAGTAGGAGCTGGGGGTGGGGTGGGGTGGGAACTGGCTGCAGAATTCTGGCCTCTCTTGCCCCACTGCCCCCTGGCAATAAATTGTTTCTATAGGTCAGAGCTGTGAAAGGTCCTTGTGGGAAAAGGGGCAGTGCTGGTTCCAAGGTGCTGGCAAACTTACAGGTGTTCTGTGAAGAGCTCCTTTATTGGGGTGATGGAATCAGGCTCCAAAGTGAAGAAGGGTTTACTGGGGTGAAGGGATCGGTGGCTTTCAATTTCAGGTTCTGGTTCTCAGTCCTCGGGTACCTGTGCGTGAATCTGCAACAGGAATCACCTCTACTATTGGATTTCTGCAGTATAGTGACTGGGTGGCCCAGATCCTCAGGGGAGAGACCCAGCTGCTCAAAATCATAGCCCTTCTAGAAGGCCAGAGAAGAGTGGTGGGGAAGCCGTGCTGCCCCTACCCAGTCTAATCCTCCAGTCAGACCCAGGTTCCATCTGCCCCATTGTTTGCCCCAGCCCCGAAGCCCCCAGATTCACTCAGGGACAAGATTCTGGACAACTTAGGAAACCACATTGAAGGGGCGGGGGGTGGGGGGGTTGGATGGGGTCTGGGAGGGAGGGGGCCCATCCATGTACTCACCGCTGCAGCGAGGCTGGGCCAGGTTAGGGCCCCACGCACTTTGGCATCGGGACCGGGGATAGTTTCCAGGCCCCACAGGGTGAAGCTGCTGAAACTGGCTGTGGCTCCAATAAAGCGGTCCTGGGGAAGGGGCCCCGGCTCAGCATCGGGGCCGCCGCTCCCACCCGCGCTCCCTGGCAACCCTATACCCCCGTGCTTACGAAGTCGCGCTCCAGCGCCTCCGGAGGCTCCACCAGTTCCCGCTCCTCTTGCTCGTCATCCTCCAAGCCCTCCGAGAAGTCCTGCTTCCCCAGCAACACCTCTCCCTTCTCTTCTGTCATCACATATCCCACGAGGCCGGCTGGCACCATCACCTCCTGGCCGCGTAGACTGCGGCCCCGGAACGACACTTCCAGTCCTGGAGGAGGCAGGCGAAGGGCCCCAGTGAGGGTCTGATCCAGGCCTACCGGAGCAAGCCCAGTAGCCGCCCTCCCGCCACCTTCGGTGGACCACGATCCCCGGGAGCCCTCGCGCCGTTCCTCGCGGAAGAGAGCGCAGCGCCGGCGCGGGGGCTGCTGGGAGCCGTAGTCCAGCCGAGAGCGCTCACCGTCGGGACCCTGGCGGATGGCCGGGGTGAAGAAGAGCCCCACGGGGGCGGGCCGGTTAACCAGAACCTCGCAGGGCAGAAGGTGCAGCAAGACGGGGGCGGGATCGCGCAGCGTAACAGGGCGCAGGTGGACGCGGCGCTTGTCGACGGCTTCCCCGTCGCTGCTTTCCATTGTCCGTCGCGACCCCGTTGCTCGCGGGCTAAGGCCAAAGCTGGCGCGTAAAGCGCGCGGAGCCTGTCGGGAGGCCTGGGGCAGTCAGCGCAGAGCCTCCTGGGAAGCGTAGGCTTCTCTGACGCTCCTCTGCAATACCGCCTCTCTGTGTTCGAGCCCAAGATTTTTTTCTTGAAAAATTTTTTCCAATAGTATATTTTTATTGTAAAACATCAACACGATCCCTAAGAGTTCAGTTTTTATATATTGACTGGTAGAGAGTGTTTTGTTTTGTCTTGTGTGTGTTTAACTAGGGATATCAACCCTTCCTCAAATGTGTTGAAGATATTTTACCCGAGTTTGTCTTACAAACTTTTGTATTGGTCATTTTTATTACAGAGAAGACTTTTATTTTTTGTAGTCAAATATATCAGCCTTTTTGTTTTATGTCTATCGCAGTACT